CAGGAGATGTAACTTAATTTTATGATTCATTTAAATTAAAATGATCAAAGTAACTGCTTTGATCTGTAATTTTTTATTGATAGTTTCATTCATTTTTCCTTAACTACGGAAACTTTATTATTTTATAAATCACAATTAATATAAAAATATTATTCAAAATTAAACACCTTTTTCAATTATTACTACTTCAAATTGATTATGAGCATATCCATAAATTTTTCTAATTATGTGGCGAAATAAAAATAATTCCTTTATATCGAAAATCGTTTAAGTTGATTATTTTCATGAAACTTACAACAACCACTTCAATTATTATATAATCAATTAAAACTTAAATTAATTTCAACATTCTATGTTTATTAAATCCAATCTCCATAATTGAATAATCTTTATGAATAACAACTACAGCATTTTTCTCTGATTTAATAGAATTAAATTAAAATAGAATGTAAAATTATTATTAAAATCGTGGGCATTGAATGGAGTAAGGTATGAAGGAGAATTCCTCAATAATGTACTTCATAGCAGAGGGAAGTTCATTCATGCAATAGGAGATATCTATGAAGGGGAAAGGAATGAAGGATAAGCAGAAGGAATTGGAACTTTTTATTATAAATTGAATGGAATGTATGAAGGAGAATGAAAAGAAGATGTGTAACATTGATTTTGTAAATAAAAACGGCCAAATAGAACAAGATATGAAGTTAATTAAGTTAATAGAATGAAACATGGGGAAGCATTAATATTGGACTGATTGAACCTCATATTAAGTAGAATTGGCATAATTTAATGGGTAAGGAGAATATGTACGAGCTAATGGATGATAGTATGAAGGATAATTACTTTTTGGATTTAAGCATGAATATCAAATATATAAATGGTTATATGGGAAATCATATTAAGAAGAGTTTAAAGAATGATAAAAATGATAGTTTTGGTGTTTATACATGGGCTTGTGGTAAGAGGTTTGAAGGAAGCTTTACAGAAGGATTATAGAATGCAAGAGGAACATTGGGAAAAGGGAAAAAAATGTAATGGTTAGATGAAAATAGCGAATTATAAAAAGTTTAATAATGAGTTAATATGGAAATTAAAGTTTATATTAAAGTTAATTTCCAAGTTAAATCAGAATTGTTTAAGATTGATTTGATTTCTATATATTTTTTACTAAAAAGTATAATAGATATTAATTAATTAAATAGAAATACAAAAAATAGATGAAAATAGGGTGATATTTTAATGAATTTAATCAACATATTAATAGAAAATAGCTGAAATAGATTTCTTCTGATTTATGTAATAGATTAGGAAAATAATCTATAAAAGTCTAACTATAATTATAAATATTTAATTATTTATTTATATATTTCTTTATTTTTTCAGACAGCCGAGGCTCCTGAAATGATTTCATATAATTCAACCGTAATTTAGTTTATCTAACCTAATTGTATTCAAGAGTCAATTTATCAAATATTTCTCCAAGCCAACTTAGAAACATTTTCTTGAGCATTCATTCTAGAAGATGTTTCACTAACAAAATAGTTTAGTATAGCATGATAAAATAGTATTCAAATACTCTCAGAATTCAGTTTTAATGTTTATATTCATATCAATTTTGTTCTTCCCAACTTTTAAATTATTGTGAAAAAGCCAAGTTAGATAGAAAAATGAATTTAGTTCATTATAAAAGTAGAAGAATATCTGTAGTTTAATTTGATTTTGATGTTAAAAATTTTAAATAATTATTGTAGGAATATTTAATTCATTAATAATCAAGAATATTTGATTAATGTTTACTC